TCCCCCAAATCTGAGTCGAATTTTCCCGCGCAAATCATCTCATAAACCCTAATTTTGGTTATTGTGTGAAGGTGCCAATTGACCAGCAAATCGGAGCAATCGATTGGCTTCATGCCCAGAACGAGATTCAGCCTCGTTGTTTCTTCTCTCGTCGCAATGACGTTGGTCGTCCCGATCTTCTTCTCGATTTGGCGTCGGAGAACGGAAACGGAAACGGACGATTGTCATCGGAACGTAATCTGGTTAGCGTCGCTGGTATCGGCTCCGCAGTTTTCTTCCGTGACCTTGACCCATTCTCTCACGACGACTGGAGATCCATCCGAAGGTAACAAGTTTACAAATTTCTCAAAATTCGTACTTTATCTGAGAAATTTTGGGAGATTCATGAATCTGCTTTCTATTGTTTCGATTTTGATTGTTTTTCGTCTTTTTGAAGGTTTCTGTCTTCTAAGTCACCTTTGATTCGTGCCTATGGAGGCATGCGATTTGATCCTCATGGCAAGATCTCTGTGGAATGGGAACCTTTTGGTGCATTTTACTTTGCAGTGCCTCAGGTACCTTGAAATTTGATTCTTTTAGGATATTTTTTTTTGGAGCAAGACTTGTTTACTAATATGGTTGTGTTGATACACACACACAGGTTGAATTTAATGAGTTTGGGGGAAGTTCGATGTTAGCTGCAACTGTTGCTTGGGATGATGAACTCTCTTGGTCGCTTGAAAACGCCATTGAAGCACTTCAGGAAACTATGCTTCAGGTGACATAGCTGAAATCTACTCTCTTCTTAAACATATGTGTTTTGCAAAATCTGCTTGAGTTTATTGAATGGTCTTTGTACTAATGACTTTTATTGTAAACTTTGTGGTGATTAGGTTTCTTCTACTGTAATGAGGATACGGAGTGAATCTCTAGGAGTATCTGTTGTTAGCAAGAATCATGTTCCTACAAGAGGTGCATATTTCCCTGCTGTGGAGAAGGCTTTGGAGATGATCAAGCAAAAAAATACATCTCTTAGCAAGGTAGTTAAGAGACCGTATCCGTATCTATTCTTACACAATTATCGGTCACGTATAACTGATGTTTTTGACTTGCGAAATCAGGTTGTGCTTGCTCGCAACAGCAGAATTATCACAGATACCGACATTGATCCCATTGCTTGGCTTGCACAGTTACAGGTTTGTTTTGTCTCTGGATATTTTATAGTAAACACTACATTCACTTCTCAGGATGAAAGCAATTTTAAGACTTAAATCTCATTCAAATTACTATGTGACAGCGTGAAGGGCAAGATGCGTATCAGTTCTGTCTTCAACCACCAGGTGCACCTGCTTTTATCGGAAACACGGTATGTTATGATTAGCCTGTTGGTAAATTCGATTTGATTTTACATATTTGGACGAAACAAGTGCTGTTGATTTCTTCCCTTATAAAGATATGTGTGTGACATACATCTTTGTGAAACAGCCTGAAAGACTTTTCCAAAGGAATCAATTAGGTGTCTGCAGTGAAGCTTTGGCTGCAACTAGGCCTCGAGGTGCTTCAGCGGCTCGTGATATGGAGATAGAGCGTGACTTACTAACCAGGTCAATTTTTTACTTTCATGCTTTGAACAATTGTAGAATCCATTTCTCATAATCTCATCCACTGAAATTTCCGGATATGCATACTGACGTGATTTGCTAAACTGTTGCAGCCCTAAAGACGACCTCGAATTCTCTATTGTACGAGAAAACATAAGAGAAAAGTTTAACGTAAGTTCAATCTTGTTGTTCTACAACTTCAATCCTTTGTTTATTGAGAACAATCAGATAGCTTGAGTTTTGGCTCTTATAGCAAGTGTATAATCGTTTGATTCTTTGCTTCTGCTTTGCAGTCTATATGTGACAAGGTAGTTGTTAAGCCCCAAAAAACTGTGAGGAAGCTTGCAAGAGTGCAACACCTATATTCTCAATTGGCAGGAAAGCTTACGAGGGAGGATGACGAGGTGAGATATGATCTTTACATTTTAGGTCGCGAATGTTATCTCCTCGCTCTTCATTTCTTGGAATTAGGTTTAACGCTTTGTCTTATATCTATATACAGTTTGAGATCTTGGCTGCTCTGCATCCAACTCCAGCTGTTTGTGGGCTCCCAGCAGAAGAAGCCAGGCTTTTGATTAAGGACATAGGTAAAGTATCTACCTTGTCTTTGCTTTAACAGTCTCTTAGTAACAAAATGCCTATGCTTATCCAAACATTTTGTCTCTCACAGAATCGTTTGATAGAGGAATGTACGCTGGACCGATTGGGTTTTTCGGTGGGGACGAGAGTGAATTTGCGGTTGGGATCAGATCAGCTCTAGTCGAAAAGGTGAAAAGCTTATTTGATCTCTCTCCTTAGCAAAGAAAAATAAAGCGCTTGCTTAAGTTTTAGCAAACCGGTCTAACTCGTTTATTTTTGAGTTATTACAGGGTCTTGGGGCATTGATCTATGCGGGGACAGGGATAGTAGCAGGAAGCAACCCAACCTCAGAGTGGAATGAGCTTGATCTAAAGATATCTCAGGTGTGTAATTTTTAAAGCAAATGTAACCGAACACGACAGCTTCTTTGTTTCCAAAACGCTAAAATGTTATTCTTTGTGTTGTTGTTTTCGCAGTTCACCAAGTCAATTGAGTGTGAGGCAACAACAGCTCTGCAGGCGATTAACTGAAGTGAG